AAAAAAAGAGAAGCTGCAAGTCACTTCTGTTATGAAGCCCTAAAAATGAGGGAGAAAGGAGTCCTGGAAGCCCCCCCCCCCCCCGTTCAATCACTTAACCAATAAACAAAAAGTAACAAACATTTCTTTATTTCATCATAGTTTAGATATGGGCCTCTGACAAAATTTTAGAAACACTTTAGAAACTATTGTCCCCCCCCCTTTTCCCAATTTAATGAGTATTGAAACATTTTTCCATTGGTTGCATAGGCCTAACATTGTTGAAATTGTATACTGTAGTCATACCTTCATAACTGGAAAAAGGGAATTTACTACAAATAACTTCATTTGGGAACTAATTATTTCTAAGCTGCACTATCAATGTATGGGTAATTAGTAATTATACATATTTCTAGTTCCATTAATGTTTTGTGTTGGCTAGCAGCTTAATAAAAACAAGAGAATAATTTAATATACTTTTAAATTCAGAATACAAAAATGAAGTTGTAAAATTAAGACATTTTAATTTGTTACTGGGGCAGCAAGTAATGATGGCTTTCTTTCAGTGTAATGTATCAGGAAGCTAATTGCCTCAGTTGTTAATATACTTGATTTATATAATCAAGAAATAGCTTTCTAAGATCTACAGAGACACTCGCTGGGACACCTCATCAAGAAAGAGTCCAAAAGTGGCAGGCTCAAACTCAGAACCTCAATCAATGGCTGATACTAAATGAGAGACTCCTCCCTGGGCACACAGAAAACTGGGCAACTTGGAAGGCGCTGAGCAGACTGTGCTCTGGCACCACGAGATGCAGAGCCAACCTCAAGAAATGGGGCTACAAAGTGGAATCCACAACATGCAAGTGTGGAGGAGAGCAAACCACAGACCACCTGCTGCAATGCAACCTGAGCCCTGCCACATGCACAGTGGAGGACTTCCATGCTGCAACATCAGAGGCACTCCAAGTGGCCAGCTACTGGTCAAAGGACATTTAATCAACTACCTACCAAGCTTGCAAACTCTGTTTTGTTTGTTTGTTAAAAAATTGTTAAAATTGTAATACAATTGTCTGGTTGATACTGACATGATAAATAAAAATATAAATAAATAAATTTATATAACAATGTAGGAGCCCACCATCATAACATCTGGATATATTTGCATAAATTAAATCAATATATAATCATTCTCCATAGAAGAAAGAAGAAGTTACAGCTTTTACTTCCTTCCTCTTCCAGATTCTTCTGAGCATATGAAGTTGCCTTGTAACTGACTTAGATTACAGAGCATGACAAATTTTCAGATGAGAATTAGTGATCCAGCCTTGAATGACACTAGATGAAGAAATGCTCCCAAGAATATGACCGACAAAACTGCAAGAATCAGGAGGTGTTCTGTGACACTCCACATGCAGGTTCAGCATATATGGCTCTTCTTAGCAAGTAGAATCCTGGGACTCTTAGAGAAAAAAACAGTTCTTAATGCTCCATGAACCATTAAAGAGTCAGGCACACATGGGTGGGAGAATCAATCATTTATCCGAGAAAGAGGGGGGGCAGTTGTGCATGGGGATTTTGTACTGAGAGAAAGTCTGTACTGAGATGGATGGAAGGAGACTTGACATTTCACCTTGGGAAATGAATACAGCCCCAACAAACCTGAAATGGATCTCTAATGATGCTGATAGTCTGGGTAGAAAAGTGAAAGACTTGGAGATACAGGTAGTGCTTCATTGGGCCTTCCGCAGATAGAAGGTCTTAGGCAGTCCCAGGCCCTTCCACACAGCTGAATAAAATCGCACATTATCTGCTTTGAATTGGAATATATGGCAGAGTGGACTCAGATAATCTAATTCAAAGCAGATATTGTGGGATTTTCTGCATTGATATTCTGGGTTATATGACTGTGTAAAAGGGCCCTCAGTCAAAAACAAATGGTTAAGCTATCAAATTGGGGAAATCCTCTCTTATTTCAAAAACTCACCCACAAATACAGCTTCAGGATAGTGAAATTTTATTTAATCACCCCAGAAATTATTTATTTACTGAATTTGTATACCGCCTTTCTCAGCCAATCGGTGAAATGGTTACTGAAAATATATCAGGAGAAATAGACTGAACAGAATGAATTCAGCCCACCCTCACTTTCAATCTACATACAAGTGAAAATAAGTTGTTAGTTCCTGTTTTAGTAAGCTGTCATCTATCTATGATCCATCATGACTTCATACCTGTATGGCATAAATTGCTATGGTGGAGAAGCTGCTTTTGTTGACTTCCAGTGAAGGATAGGCTAGGAGCAACAGCGTCATGACACTATACCTGTGGTGGAGATGGAGACATTGTTACATCATCCTTGGCAGTGGCATTGACCCACCTTTCAATCTCCAATGAAGTTTGAGCATTTTCTCCCCTTTGCATTCAGTTTTTGCCTACCCTACATTGCATTTGGGGGCCTGTGATAATTGGCTTGGAAGAGGGAGTCTATAAATAGGTGGTGACTTGGCAGGTAATGGGGGAGGGGGGGCTAAGTTACAGTTAACAGTTTTGCTGGGAGGGGGGAGGAGTTCTGGGTTTGCCACTTTAAATGAAGACTATCCTTGGAGCTGGCCTGAGGGCTTTGCTCTATGTTTCAGGATTGGAGAATGGGGGTCTTTTGGGCTGCCTTCCAGCAAATTTCTGGAGAAATCCAGCTATTTGGTTGTCTCAAGGGTTTGGGTGGTTTTCCCAGGGGAAGTCCATTTGGAAAGTCAAGGGTGACATCTAAATTGTCTCCCCTCTCTTGCTCCTTTCTAAATTCAACTCAGTCTAAATAGGATTTTGGTTAAATAAAGTGGCTGTTATTTAACCCAATCCTGTGTGTCTGGTCTCATTATTCCATGATTGGCCACCAAATATATGGCATATGTATTGACTGTGCTGATAAAAAGAATATCAGCAATGAACATACGTGTATGAAAATGAGATTCAATGCAAAAAAGTAATATTGTTGGGAAAATTCCAATTAAACAAGCATGCTGAGTTAGAAGTGACAGAGTAAAAATCCTGGAATGTGAATTATTTCAGTATTGACCTGACAGATATCTATGGCATAGTGTTTGCAATACTACATAAAGCAGTTCTAATTACTGCCCTTGAAAGGTTGTTCTAAAGTTTGAGGGTAGGGAGAAGAACAGAAATAGGCAACAATCTAGCAATGGGTAAAAGATCTAAGGACTAGAGAAATGTATCACATTTTGGAGGGAATCCTATTTCAATATTTAGGTCCCTCTGTAAATTAAATTGATAATGAGGCTTAGATTCGGATTTATTCTGCTTGGAGGAGTCCTACTTCAGTTTGGAATCTTCCACATTCCTTCATTAGCTCTGTGTAATTCATCTGTTGGCAAAATCAGAAGCACATCCTGCTTTCAAAATTTCTACAATTTCAAATGTAGATTGCTGTTTAGCAAAAGTCTCTGTAGTAAAATGCCCCACATGAAGATCAGTGAGTCAACCATTGATACTCCAATACTAATATTGATTATTTAGAAGAAAATATCTCCATATTAAATGGGCTACTCTAGTAAAGTATTTAAATACCCACTGAACGTGAGACTAAGCACTATGGAACATCAATATGGTGTACTATGTATTGTCGAAGGCTTTCATGGCCGGAATCACTCAGTTCTTGTGGGTTTTTTCGGGCTATATGGCCTCTAGAACATGGCTATATAGCCTGAAAAAACCCACAAGAACTGAATATGGTGTACTGTTCTGAGTAGCTATGTATAGGCTTATACAGTAAGCTTGGAATCCCATTGGTTACTCCCAACTAGAATAGACATGTTGAATTCTATGTTGAATTCTATGTTGAATTGTAAGTCTACAACAAGGAAAATCTAATTGATTCAATGGGTCTACTCTGGTAAGGAATAACAGCAAGATTGAGGCTTCAGTATGTTTAGCAGTACAAAGGAGAATGATGCAATCCTATATTCACTTACCTTTGGTTAATTTCCATTTAACAAAATTTGATTTACTTATTTATGTATCTCCATAATTCTGCATAGTAAATGGCCTCATAAATCCAAGAATGATCTATGGATACACACTGAGCATTGTCACTGAAAATCGTTTCTGTCCTTGTTTACAGAACCGATCTGTCAAGGTGATATGTACATGTTTGGACAACTATCACTTGTTAAATATGGAGGTTTAGAGGAGTATATGTGTTCAGTTATGAGAACACATTTCATCGGGACTTTTCAGGCAGATAGTGGATGAGCCCAGACAAAAGTATCATCATGTTTAATAATTATGCCATTATAATTATTATAGTTGTATTTCACATTTAATATAATCTATATTAGAGTGACTATCTGTTTCCATTGGTTTAAAAAACCATTTTATAAATACCTGTGTTTTTAATCCTGTGATTCCCAAGCGATATTCAATAACATTTTCATGGGTTAAAAGAAAACTTGAAAAGTTTTCTATGAAGGTTGTATGGTTTTAAAATAACATGCGTGCCTCTTAGTAACTTCCGGTTGTTGCAGAACAAATTAGTCAAGAAGAAAATCATGGACAAAAGAGTAACCATTTTAGCAATATGCATTTTAACTATGTTCCACTAACGGTTGTAAAAACAAATTAAGGAAATTAAAATAAGTGGGACTTAAAAGCTTCCTGTCAGCCTAACTTTTGTTCTGTAAGTATTTTTGTTGTTATTAATAAAACATTTTCACTTAATTCAGTTTGAAATTTGCTCAGTGCTAGAGGCCGAAAACCAAAATGTAATTCACAATGGAAGATATTAATAAAAACACTTGGGAACGAATAAAGCAATTACTACATATCACACAGAGATGCATAGGCAGCATTGGTCTGCACTTGGTTTATATCCAACATTGCTTGATTCTTCTATGGAAGGTAATCTTCTGATAGCCAATGTTTATTCCATTACTCAGTTCATAGTATCACTTCTTGGCCTATTCTGGAGTCTAGTCATTTACACCAAAATCTTCCTTAGAAACAAATTTCAAAGGGGAAAATCATTTTTTTTATTATTTGTCTGATTTTCATTCCTTCCTGCACTAAACTTGATAGATAGTTGTGAAATACCAAAGAAAAAAAACAATAGATTTCTGTGCTGTGTGTCCACTTAAGTCCAGATTTGGGCCTCAACCCATCTGGAAGGGGAGAAAGGCAAGAACCACCTTCATAAAAGATTTCATCAAAGCATTACTCAGTGGCATTACAATGTTAATAAAATTTCTTTATCTGAAACTATAATTTAATATTCATGTATCTAATTTACATGTGACAAAGAAGCATATTCTAAAATTAGAGTGTAACCAGCAAACTATTGACTACTATAAACAATACGAAAAAACACAACCCAAACATTTCTAAGTAAATAAAAAGATACAACTCTTAACCGGGGAATTATTTTAGTTGCTGATACTGCTTTAAACATAGCTGTAATTATGGCTTGAAAAATCTGTTCAAGCGCACAAGCATTTCTGTGTGGAAGGAGTCTTGTGTATATACATAAAGTCCAAGGGTATACTACCAAAATCCCGCTTATTCATTTATAGTTGGTACAGTAGAAACAGTGAATGCCTTAATTTTGTAGGGGGGGGGGGATCAAACCAATATTTAGAAATGGTTTCTGATCTAGATAATGTTTTCCCCATGAAAACAGAAACAAAATGCCATTTTCTTAATACTGAGATGCTGCACAGTGAAAAATGCACTTATTGTAAAAATACAATTGAGTGTTAGCCTGCAGCCGTCCTTTTCAAACATTAGTGTCCTTACTACCTATGGCAACTGTGTATTATGCTGAAATTGAGAAATTATATGCATTTTAAATAAAAACAGAGTAACTACGTACAGAACAAACAGTGAATCTTAACAGAATCAACATGCACTAACCCTACTCTTATGCAAAATTAATTTCTTCCAGAAAATTGCATCCAACCTTTGGCCTTCCACAAAGGTATATAGGTGTTGTCCCCTGGTAATACATTTGGACTTTTGTATTCAAATACCAGTATGTTAGCTCAACATCACAAAATGTTCTGTCCCACTGGTATATCCTTTAGCTGCCCTTGGGCTTCCATAGAAACTGCTCTCACATAGTCACTTTTATGCAGCTTTTCGTGAGCCTCACTGAAAGTCTCCACAGTTCTATACAAATAAGCCTTCTTATTCATCTTCTTCTGGTTCCTGTAATACAATGGGTGCTTCTTCTTTTAAACAAGCACTAAAGAAGCTCAGAATTGTGCTATAAAGGTGGTATTTACTCTTCTCTGATGTGATATAATGACCTTCATCTGGGTAGATCTAGAAGAAAAGTAGAAAGAAATAAGACTTTAAAAATCAGGTGATATGTGTCTCTAGGATTTGTTTAAAATGTTTCTGCATCAATACTAAATGAACGCATTAGATGATATTCAGCCTCACCAAAGGCTCATAAAATGCAAAACAAAATCCATTTTCTTGATATTTTAAACGAGCAATTAATAGCATTCACTAAAACCTAAGCACTAGAAGTATTTTCTCGCATTTTATTTAAAATTGCCTTTCCCATTCACATTTTCAAGATGGTTTAAAGGAAATAGTTTGTATTAAATATTGATGGAAACAATGCAAGACCGTAGAACAACATGGTATACAGCATGATCAGAATACTGATCTAAAATTACTTATATATACATATATACTTATACATACATATATATGGAAGTAGACTTGTTTTTATAGGAAACAATCGATTACGTTATGCCATATGTCTGTATTTGTATATCTAGTATTTGCCTGCCAACCCCCGAAATAACGAGACAACACACCAGTAATTGGATTTAAAATATGGCAACTTTTATTTATTGTTACCTGTTTAACTTTGACTGGATCTCAATCTATGGATCTTGAACTTGGTGGCAAAGCCGAGGTAGCCTCCCTGTCCGGCCTACCCCTCGGCTAGTTAGGGCAAAACACCCAGGTCCCCTGGACACCCAATCTAGGCAACCTCTGAAGGAAATGGGTCAGAGAAGTCTCTCTCAGTGTATCTGAGACCATATTTTCTTTATTTCTAGGCCATTATAATTCCCCTCCCCGCATCAAATTGAATCTTAGGTGAGTGTTTTAGTTAATGGCCTTCACCCCTGAATGGGGTGCCTGGGGCATATACCAATTTTTTGTTTTCCCTAACTGATTATCATGACCACCTATTTAACACCACACCATCCCAATTTGCCCTGCAACAGTATAGGGTAGGCAAAAAACCCTCCTAGAACAGAAGAGGGAAAAAATTCCTACCCGACCCCCTAATGGCAACCAAATATACTGTTTAATGGGCGGGAGTGATGGGTCGACAATCAGCTTCAGAATGAGGAAGGGGGTCGGCCAGAGCTGAGAGCCTGGCTCTGCCCCCTTCCCGATAGTTCCAACCGGAACTAGAATTCTCTCTTTCGAAGGTGGAGGCAAACTCCTCTCCCTCCTCTTCTAGTATTTCCAAGGGTTCAATATGACCTTCAGTTGCATTGCATTTTTTTGTGTTCTGACACTTGATAAGAAAGACAAAATATGATTCTTAATGCAATAGCTAAAGCTCCTTATTAAAATTGAAATGCCTCATCAATATTTTCTTTAAAGGATTGGTATATATGCAACTGGTGTTGGGTGTTCTTCAGAGTACATTCCTGATCTCTCTCTCTCTCTCTTATAGGCAAGTCCTCTCCATCTTATAATGGTCTCCGATTCAGCAGTATCTCACAATGTATCACAATCTCATTTGTATTATCTGTTTCTCCGAATTTTACTCTTTTTATTCCACAAACAAATATGTCTGCTTCATATGTTTAATTAGACAAGAATTAACTTTAAAACAGACATGTAGGTTTGGTGAAATAATTAACTCCACTATTCAAGAAGCGTTAACTCATTTCTGAGATCTTATTTATTTAATGCAGTGGTTCTCAACCTGTGGGTCTCCAGATGTTTTGGCCTTCAATTCCCAGCAATCCTAACAGCTGGCAATGGCTGGGATTTCTGGGAGTTGTAGGCCAAAACACTGGAGGTGTTTAGTCTTAAATGACTATATCCAAATTTTCCACATGAGGAAGTGATCATTATTAGTATAATGATGGGAAGATAACACAGACAAACTAGCTTCATCTAGATCAACAAGAATGGGGGAAAATGATTTTTATATATATTTTTTTCTAATTCCTCTGCTTTATAAATAAATCATATATGTATTCATTAGATCTGTAACCAAATATGAGACTGAAGGAATAACTGAAGTAATCTATAATCATCAATAAAATAGAAATAAAATACAGCTGCTAATTTTAAGAAAGCTCTCTTCTTGGCAGTTAGGTACTGAAAGCCTGCCTTCTTCACTTGTTGAAGGTATATCACACAGATGCAGACGCTTAGCAGAAAGCACAGAAGCAAAAACTATATTACTCCAGGTGTTTAGTCTTAAATGTCTATATCTCAATTTTCCACACGTGAAGTGATTGCTGTCTGTCTAATCCTCAAGGAGCTTAAAATGTATAATGCCACATTGTTGTTTTTTTTTAAAAAAAAACTTGATGAAGAAATAAGAAGTATTTTCATAATATTATTCTGAAAGTTTCTACTGTCCTACATGCTGTATTGTATTGGCACTGCATTGTGAATTTGATAGAACTGTCTTCTCCTCTGCAATTCCTGTACAATATTCCAAATTGGCTAGAATCCAACCCCAGAAGGTGTCCCAGCCCAATTTATCAGGTGTTTGGGGTACATAAGGTGCTGAAGTGGAGAATGGAGGTTTCTCTCTCTAAATTCCACTGATAGAAATATTTACTCAACAGACATACTCCTTTGGTTCAGTTTACTTCTTTGGAGAGGGAACATGATACATTTTGAACATATATATATATTACGGCTGGGCGGTTTCGTTTCGTAATTTCGTAATTCGTTAAAAATTCGTTATTTTTTTATAACGAAGCGATAACGAACCATTCAGGAGCAACTTAAAAACGAAACGAATTTTTAAATTCGTTTCGTAATTGTTTCGGATTTGGTTTGTATTCGTTTCGTTATCGTTTTGAAATCGTTTCATTATTATTTCCGCATGTCTGGGGCAAGTTTTATAGTTGTTGTTTGTTTAATCAGTGAAAAAAAATTATAAATATCACACCAACAGTCAACAACAGAGGGAGAGGGAAGCTTCAGAAGTTCCCCCGTCCCATTTGGAGGTTTTTTAGCGTATTGCGCGGTCGCGTCCGCCATTAACGAATCGATTCGTAATTGTTTCGTAATTGTTTCGTATTGTTTTGCAATTTACGAAATTTCGTAAATATCGAACTTTTTAAAAGAAAAATTTCGGAATTCTTTAAAAAATCGAAATGCAAAACCCCCCCAAAAACGAATCGATTTTAGAAACAAATTTTTCCGTTGTTACCCAGGCCTAATATATATATATATATATATATATATATATATATATATATGATATTGCTTAATCAATAGATTATATTAGTATCAATGTGTTTGCCAGCTATAGGTTACAAAGATTTATTACTCAAGATATTCAAATATTATATATTGTATATAAATAACAATTTGTAATATCTTTCAAACACCTGTAAGGGAAGAGAAGAGTATAACTTATCTTTTAAAATGGATTAAAATTAAATATGTTGAAATATGCACTAAGACTCTGAAGTATTACATACCTGCATAGTGTAATTCACTCCAGCTTTTATTAGATGTTTAATTAATTCTGCTGAGTGCTGGAAATGGACTTTAGCTATGGGATAACAACATCAGAGTGTTAGTCAAAGGCATTATTAATGAGAATCAGACCCTTAAGATTAGCTGTCTCCCATCTTTGTTAAACAACAGGGATATGCATAAATATCTTTTCCTACTTTGTCCAAAAACATATTTCTTACAAGAGAACACTTATAACAGAGTGGGAATGAGGGAATGAAAGTAGCCTCTTTCCCACTTTATTTAAAGTTCAGATCTCATCTGAACTTTAAATAATTTACATGCTGCTTCATGCCTGTAAATCCTTAGTACAATAGAACGTTCTTACAGGCAAGCATGAATATTATTGCAATCCAAGTTTGTCTTTTATAGGCCCCCTCTTCACTGGCTTTATATCCCAGGCTATCTGCTCTGAACTGGCTTATATGACTCTCCACTGCCATATAATCTGGGATAAACAGATAATCTGGGATCAGATTCTGGGATATAGGGCAGTGTAGAAGGAGCCAAGCTGCAAAATGAAGGATAATGTTTTTTTTTCTAGGATTGCAGAAATGTGTGAAAGATTCTGAATATGGAAGAAATTATGGATGCAAAAGTGTGGTCTACAGGCTGATGTCACTTCCAAGTTGCAAAAAATGTGCTAATGCATTCCCTAATGCACTTCAATATAAACAGATGCATTGACTTGAATCCTTTTGCTGCTCTCAACTAGAGTAGTCCCTTTGAAACAGTGGGATTTATCAATGACTATTCATCTTCATATCAATGTTCTCTAGATGGTCTTTACTATGGTATTTGTAATAATTTAAAGCACATTGAAACATATATTGCTGGAATCTAGGCGAGGATGTTTTTCTGAATTTAAGAGAAATGCTGGCTGGTTTTGAAATCTTGTTATTGAACTGAACCCCCCCCCCCCTTTCTCTTACAGATACTAAATCCTCCACTTTTCTTATCATTTGCTCCCATGTCCTTTCAAAATGCTATTAAACCTCAGTTGAAACATCGTGTATAGGACAGGATGAGGTTGTCATTCCACCTTTAGCATCCACTTCCATTCTTTATGCTAGCATAGAAAAGGAAAAGCTGCACAAAGCTGTGCTACCATACCAAAATCTTTCATTGGGAAATATACACTCTTTAATATTTGCTGTATTACAACTTTTAACATAGAAATCTGATTTGTCGAGTCCTTCGTTTATGGATTATTTTTAGGAAACTGTTTGCCAAAAACAGCCTCCTAATATAAGCCATTTGGTGAAATTGCAGTAATTTTCTTGTTTGTTCAATTGACAATATTTCCTGTACTATGCAAAATTAGAATAAAAGGACTTATCGTTTGGAAGTGACCCTACTGAGCCAAACACTATGACGCATTTACCATTGTGCCTAGAATTTTTATTATAAAGTCAGCAAATTGATGTGACCCTTAAAAAGTAAAACTATCAGCTGAAGCTGAAATATTTATGTTTGCCTATTTTTTTTCCCCCAGGGAATCATAGGAACACTAATTGAAACAGAAACTAGTCTGGGATTTTTTAAAAAGTTGCCTGTGTTAAGGGAATATATTTGACATGTTTTACCTGGGGTAAAAAGCAGAAAGTAAGGACCAGACCTTAGTAGGAAAGTCCTATTCAATCCCCAGGATTTTAGTCAGAATATTTTAAATTACAGATCTTAAATCATGAAGTGTTTTGTACTGTTTATATTAACAGGTACTGATAGATTTAGATTTTCACTGGTTTCTGTGTTATGCATTTCAACTGATGGTATATGTTGCATTTTGATAAGTTGTTCCCTGCCTTCATACATGGGAGAGACTGGAAAGAAATAATATTGCTACAGCTACTAAGGCATTCCCTTGTCTCTTCTCTTTGTGTCCCAGGTTCAATGTGTTTTAATTTCTGTGCTTGGACAATATCCTTTGAAAAGTCAAGTTTACACATTTGTCCATATAAAGAAATAATGGTTTAAGAAGTGATTATATCCTCCTCAAAGCTGGAGGGGCAAGGAAATGGGGGAAAGAGGTGGGGCTATAAAGCATGGGTTATTAGATGAAGAACATGGTAATACCTAAAGCAGGCCATGGGAGATAGCCATGTAAAATTGAGATGATGTTTCTGCTTCTTTTCTAATTCAGAGTTAGCCCTTATATTTTATAGGAAAATATTTTTTGCATCCATGTATGTTAGATTCAGTCACACACTAATGCAATTATTATTGTGCATATTTTCAATGTGCATGATGCCTGAACAGCAGCTTCAGGTTTGCACTCGGAGCTCAGAACACAACCACACACCAGTAACAACAGTTATAAATACAATAATGCTGAAAGATGTATTTCTTGGCTTCACTGGTATAATATCATGAATGTATGAACATGAAAAATCCTTTCTTTCCATGTTTATTAAAAACTAGAACTTGGCTTACAGATCTTCGTTGTGTTTTATTCCTAGGCAAGGATATTTTTCTGCATTTAAGAGAGATATCCAGGTCCAAAGAATGGATATTGAGAAAATCCATGATGGTTTTGTGTTTGTTTACATATTCTCAGCAGGATTTCTAACTGTGTGTCAGTATGAAAGTGCCACTCCACTATAAATCTAAGCTAAAATAGACATCCATTAGGCATGCAGGATGGCAGAAGTGGTACGGATATGACTGCAATTGCTGTGCAGAAGAAAGAAAACAGAAAGGGGGAAAGGAAAAGAATTACATGATTGAGGAGGGTTAATAAAATATTTGCAATGCAGATGGAAGCCCACGTAGTCTGCCAGGAAAGAAAGCCCTGTGGAGTGAAGGGTACTTCACACATTGTTAATGAGAAGTCATTAAAGCACAGAGGTCTTATATTTTGTTGTTATTATTGTGAGCCATTAAGTGATTTATGATTTATGGTGACCCAAAGGAAAACCTATCATGAGGTTTTCTTTGAGGAATCTGCTGGGATGGGGTAATCCTTGTTTTCATCTGAGACTGGGGCCCTATCTACACTGCCATATAAAATCCAGATATATTTGCTTTGAACTGGATTATGTGGTAGTGTAGACTCAGGGCCCTTCCACACAGCCATATAACCCAGAATATCAAGGCAGTAAATCCACAATATCTGATTTGAACTGGATTGTCTGAGTTCAAACTGCCATATAATCCAGTTCAATGTGTATTTTATATATCTCTGTGTAAGGAGTCTTATATAATTTTGTATGGAAATATAGATGGGGCTTGAGAAAATGTGACTTTCCCAAGCTCACCCAGTGTATTTCCACAGATATTTCCTGGTTTCCCAGTGTCCCAGCCCAACATACAAACTACTATGCCGTGGTGGCTCTCAAAACCTTCTTATGCTGACATTTAGATTTTGCCAGTAGAAAACTGGGAATAATTTAGACGTTTAAATATTTATGCATTCAGTTATTAATACACGTTGGCATGGTGTTTTATAAGCTTTAAACAAATTGATATGAACAGCTGCAAAGAACTACAACTAAGAGAAATGTCATCTGCTCAGATCCAAAACCATCAATTGATTGTGACAAGCAGGTCTCTAGGGTACAGATAAATCTCAGTATTATAAAACACACACATCCCAGCACACATACACAATTTCACTGAACTTCTTTGTGTGACAATCTGCAACTGCAAACTGAATTGCTTTTGTGTAAATACTCACTATCGGCTGTCCCATGGATGATTAACAAATTTTCTTCCTTAAAGCCATGAATATTGTGCAGCACACTTGAAGCCTTTAGAAGGAAGCACACATATCATATATAACTATGACTGATTTAAACTCCACATCCCTTTGGTCCCAATAAGGATCCCTAATGCATCTTGCTCACCTGATAAGCATGTTCTTCCTTAGCTGGAATTCCTAGATATCTTTCTGAAAAAGCTGATGCTATGTATGAGGAGGAGAAGAAAATATTATTTACTTTAAAGTACATTTGAGGAGGTAGTTAGATATATTAACCTTTATGGACCTAATCATATGTAACTAGAAGTTACGCAATCTACAATTGCTGAGACCCAATTCCAATATGGAACTGAAAGCTCTATTGACATATTAACATGGAATCAACCTCTACTTTCAATTGGACACATCGTGACCCAAAGTCAGGAACTAAGGGCCCATCTCCACTGACCATTAAATGCAGTGTTCTTTGGTTTATGCCATCACCATCTGGGACTAAAACTGATCTCAGTATTTCCTACGTAATCATCTACACAGCAAAACCACTATCTTTAATACCATTTTGAGACTGCATTAAATGTTCACTGTAGATGTCCCCTACGACTTCTGTTCACACTGGGGTTCTACATATCTTATCATATGATACATATGTGTGGTTTGTTGCAAAGCAGTTTGACTCAACAGAGTTCTGATCCTTGCAAACTATTTGTCTTCACACTTTTTGTAACCCCTCAACTATCTCACAAGAGAAAAAAACAGAGCTGCTTGTATTTAGTGAACAGCTTTAATAATACAAAACACTTACCATACAATCTCATGTCTGTAATTGGTGCAATCACAGCCCCACATTTGAAAAGCCTTTCATTTGCCTTTAGGATCATTGATGCAATGTATCCTCCATAGCCCTACAAAACAACCTAATGTGAATTAAAATGTAACCATTATCGCCTTAATGAAATCGCCTTTTGTTCCACAGCATTTACATTTATTTCTGTAGCTCTCTCACATTCTGTGAACTATAAAGCAACAATTATGAAAGAATCAAGAATGCCTAGGACAACTTTGAGCTGATATATAGTGCAATAATATTCAGTGCGTACACTGAAAATAGTACATGACAGTCAACACATTTTTTTCTGTCCCTTTCCAGCAATGTGATATGTTTGGGGTATAACGCATTAATTGCACTAGCTCTGATAAAGCTGTGAATGTTTTACATTTATCTCAGAGTTGCTCTTTTGGCTTCCTGGAGCTTTCAGCCTATTTCAAAAGTTCTTTGGAAATGATCAGCTTAGGTCTCTGGTTGAGTAAGGAAAAAAAAGCAAAAGTGATAGAAGTAAACAGATTGGCAGGGGAAAAAGGTAAGTGTTGAGTGCCAATCCTATCACTGGATTTGGTCATGCCTGCCACTAACATATGACTCCTGTCATATTACGCTTGTAGGAATAAAGTCTTTAAAAGAAAAAAAACCTCCTATATATTTCTGTGGTCAAAACTAAAACCAAGACCCTGCAACATATCTCTGGCATGTAGCGATCATAAGCCTCCCGATGGAAAACTCAATATTTTCTACTATTGCAGCAGCTATTTTCCATATAAATGGAAAGCAATGTGAGCAACAGCGATATGTCCAAGTAGTTTCCTTTAACTAGGTATAGCGTGACAGATATCTTCAGGGACCTCTATAAGTCCTTCAGATGACCTTAGTACTGTGCATCCAGGAAAACAGCTGGACACATCTCTATTGCTCCTCTTACTTTCCACAGATGAAGAATGGGCTTGGGGTGAATTTTGATTATTGTATGGTTGGAACAAAAATTCAGCTTCTGAAGAAGTGGGGTTGAATAGCTTATGTTGGACTCACAACATCATAACTCAATAATAATAATTGGAAATCTAGATGTTGTAGGAGACATATGGCTGCTATCAAAAATGATACTGGCTGAATATCCTTTATCCAAAATGCCTGGGACCAAAAACATTTTGGATATCTGATTTTTAATCAGGTATCCATATTGTCCATATCTATATATGGAAATAATGAGGTTTTTGGAGATGGGAAACAAGTTTAAACACAAAATTAATTTATGATTCATATATACCTTACGTATAACCTGAAGGTAATTTTATATAAAATATGTCCTATCAAAAAAACTGGAAAAATAAGCTCATTAAAAACACACTTCTCTCCAGCTTTGTGATTGTTTTCCTTTCTTCCAGTTGAATATAAGAGTCAATACACAATGCTTGCAGATTGATTCTACACTTCTAAGAAATAAAGTTCAAGGTCTAGCAACCCTAATTTAAAACTTGTATGACCAACAATAGGTTTTTCACAAAAAGGCTAAAATTTCTCTGCTCCCACCCAGAGACAGAAAAAGCTATTATTTTGTAGTAGGATAATACGTTTCCCTTCAGTTATTATTCTGGTGCAAAACAGAAACTATAATTTGCATAACGATCTTTGAACCCTCATAGAATAAACTTTTGGTGTGCTTTATCTATGTCCATGGTACAGAAATGAATACTTTTTAGCACAAAAGAAAACCAGGTTTGGGGAAAATATATTTACGCTGTAATAAATAATTTCTATTGAAAGTAGGTCATTACAGTTTAGCCTCTTGTTATTTTTTTTAAGACAGCATTCCCATGTAAGCATCCTTGAATCTTTTCAAGTGGTCACAAAAAGATCAGAAAGCAAGCAATCAGATCAGAAAAAAAGGATGGAAGAGAATTTCATTTGGTTTACATTTTTAAGCAAACCAACTTCATTTGAACTAGCCAAACGAATACACAAAATACAATACACCAATTCTTTCAAATTCAAGCTTTTAGTATACAACTAATTCTGAGCATTGGTTCTGCACTGAAAATTGTTCACCTGAATGGATGAAACATGAGAGTCAGGTGCCATGGGCATACTGATGACACCTCACTCCAAATTTCCAGTCGAGGCTTTTAATATAAAAGTGACAACAATCAGGAAACAAACAAACAAACAAACAAACAAGCTTTTCAGGAAACTTCCATATAAAGTCCACAGGTTCATGACAACTCTCCCTTTACCAGCTGCTTAAAGCAAATATCTACATGAAACCACTGCAATCCTAATTCTTGATAATGTAACCAGAAGGAAACTGATCAATGGTTTAGAAAACTGTTGGAATATTCTCATATTCCTTCTGCTGTTATAAGTTACCAATGAAACAGGGGTGTTTTTGCAAATCTAGGCCTGAAATAAACTTAGATAATTAGTCTCACGCAAATATCAAATAACAATCAACCTTGCAAGCGACTTTCTTAGGAGCTGGATATTAACACAAACACACACACTGAAGTCTTTTTGGCTATGGCATTCCATAGATATTCATGTTGTTGACTCACTGAGTCACAAACGTGGAATATTATTATACAATTGGACTGAAACAATGGTAAAGTACTGGAAATGAAATGTCGATTACATTGGGTTATTTCTGAAGATGTGTTAGATTTTTTTTTTGCTCTAGAATACGTATTTATGAAAAGATTTCAACCAAACCTGTTATTCAGGCTCAGGCTGACATCTGGAACACTTCCTGCAACAAGTTTGGGACAAGTGACAAAATTTGGTTCTCTTCAGGAAAATCACTGGTTTTGGTGCATTTTACATGGAATTTGGCATGAAACAATTTTGTATGCTACAAATCATAAATGAAATGATCCAAATCAACCTGGAAAACATTGGGTAAATTTCCTAGTGTACACACACACACACACATACATACACCTGCTGTGAATAGGAGCAACATCTTATTAAATATGGAATTTTACCTTTCCAAATATGCTCAGCCTGTTAGAGTCAATGAATGGCTGTTTCAGCAAGTACCTGAAATAGGGACAGTAAAATATTATGAAAAGCCATGTTTCCTGTGTGAAGGATATCATACTGTGATATCTACAACACAGAGTGTTAAATAAATATTATATCATTCTACTCTAGATTTGCAAATGCCTTCTTGAACCCAATAATAGTGCCTGCAAGATGCTGACAATATTCAAAATTATGATTTACTGTACACAAAAAAGTAAGCAACAATGCTTCTGGATGGATTAAACATAAAGCTAAATCTTTACAGAAATGTTTTGTTTTGTCGTGTCAGGAGCGACCTGAGAAACTGCAAGTCGCTCCTGTTGTGAGAGAATTGGCCGTCTGCAAGGACGTTGCCCAGGGGACGCCTGGATGATTTGATGTTTTTATTATCCTTGTGGGAGACTTCTCTCATGTCCCCGCATGAGGAGCTGGAGCTGATAGAGGGAGCTCATCCGGCTCTCCCCGGATTCGAACCTGCGACCTATCGGTCTTCAGTCCTGCCGGCACAGGGGTTTAACCCACTGCGCCACCGGGGGCCCATACAGAAATGTTGAGATGTTATGAGCCCAAGGCACAACTGTTACTGTTTCAAAATGAGACCAAGAAAGAAAAATGGATTGACGATAATCTTTTTTATAGATTACAACAACACGGTATTAAATATTAATTTTCCCTGAGAAAAATTCACCACTTTGACAAATTTAAACACTTTCCAGTGTTCTTTTTTTAAAAAACGATTGTAGCCACTACATCAGTGCTCCTCAACCTGTGGGTCCCCAGGTGTTTTGGCCTACAACTCCCAGAAATCCCAGTCAGTTTACCAGCTGTTAGGATTTCTGGGAGTTGAAGGCCAAAACATCTGGGGACCCGCAGGTTTAATCAGACCTCAAGTTACATGTAGAATCTCCTTGAGATTCTCTAATCATGAATAGAAAAAAGCTGCATAATGACAGAGGGTCCATCCAGACAGGACCTTTAGTGCAGTAACTCCTGCAGTAAAGAAGGGGCTGTCCAGTCAACATTCTGGACAGTCCCAAATCAATTTGCCACAAACCAGGAAAACCCTGATCTGTGGAGAATTAATTAAATAGTGGATTTATTCTGCGGCTTCCTGGAAGGCGCAGGATAAATCCACTACCACAATACCACATATAATATGACAATACCTTTCCCTTTTTTAATGGATCCTTGTCTTAATCATGATCATTCTTTGGATTTGTGTACATGTTTAAATAAAATAGATGAAATAATGGTCCAAGTTAAACAATACATTCTTTCAGGTGACGAGCCTCTTATGGCTCTGTTTTGTTGCAGTGATTTATGATACTGAGGCAGCATTTTATGCCATGGTGCGGGGCTGAATTGTATTCTTGACAGTTGGATATAAAGTAGTTTGTTAGATTTAGATATTCAAACATAGCATAGAAAAATCAAAGATATATTGGAGTATTCAGACTAGGTCTAAAAATCTGGTTTATCAGACGTTGATTTTTGCTTTCTATGAAACCCTGAATGTATTGTAGCAAACCAGAAAAAATAAACACAATCTATTTTCAATCTGTTATATTAAACTAAGAATTATTTTTACACAGAAATAAATAGAAGAAATGTTTGCACATACGTACTCTACCGCTGCTATCTGGTCCTTCACTTCCACTGATCCTATGGAACGGTGGACTTCTTGCAGAATCTTTAGACCTTGAAATCCACTCCCTCTTCCATCAAACTGAGCTACGATGACATTATCAGAGTTGACAAGCACAGAATCCCAGTCAATGTGAAACTTATCTGTAACCAACTGGTTGCCTGGAGCTTCATCACTGTAAATACCAACAGACCAGACACAAACGGAGGCTATTGACAATGTGATGAACTTTGCAGTTCTTCAATATTTTATTTAACCTGGATGGCAGAGTTCATCATGCAATCCAGTTGGATAATTGTCAGATTTATCCATAACAGCACATTAACCACTGCTGTTATCATTCATGGATGCAGTGAACAGAAATAACTGTCTAACAATAAACTAATGAGAGTAACATATTGTTTTACTAGTTTCATTGACAGAAGTTTAGGAACAGAGAAAGCTTCTGCCTCTGCCTCTTTTTTTCAAAGCAGCAGCTATTTCAGTGACTTGCAGCATAAAAAAAGGAAAGGAGGGGGAGGAAAAGAAGAAATGTTGCAATACTACAAAGAAATAGTTATATATCCACAGAAGTTCATGCTCAAATACAAACCAGTTAGTATTATAGGAAACAGTCATTTCAATTTATAGAATTCTATGATGTGAGGTGATTCCCCAATGCCTTCCTGCAACTACTGTATATACTCATGTATAAGTTGGTCTCATGTATAAGTTGAGAGAAGGTTTTGGGGCTAAAATTACAGATTTTGATAGTAACTGTGAATAGATTGAGAGTTGTTCCACTGGGAAGAGGAAGTGTCAGTATTGTATCAGAGGCCCAGTTACCCCGGTCTTTGCTGCTGCCATCTTGTTGCTCAAGCATTCAAAGAGGTCAGAAGTGGCAGCGGAGTGGAGACAGTAGAAGGAGTTAGTGCTTGTTTTAGCATCTCCTGGAACAGTCCGCACTACTTTTTCAAAGCAGCAGCTATTTCAGTGACTTGCAGCATAAAAGAGGAAAGGAGGGGGAGATTATTCCTTTTTTTAAAAAGTACTTATATTAATCCACAGATAAGTCAACCCAGGTTTCTTACTTTGATTTTCTAACTTTATAGACTGATACATGAGTATTAGGCCTAGGTAACAATGGAAAAATTTGTTTCTAAAATCGATTCGTTTTTTGGGGTTTTTTGCGTTTCGATATTTAAAAGAATTCCGAAATTTTTCTTTTAAAAAGTTCGATATTTACGAAATTTCGTAAATGTTAAAAAAATTACGAAACATTAACGAAACAAATATGAAACAATAACGAATCGATTCGTTAATGGCGGACGCGACCGCGCAATACGCTAAAAAACCTCCAAATGGGACAGGGGGAACTTCTGAAGCTTCCCTCTCCCTCTGTTGTTGACTGTTGGTGTGATATTATAATTTTTTTTCACTAATTAAACAAAAAACAACTATAAAACTTGCCCCAGACATGCGGAAATAATAACGAAACGACCTCAAACCGATAACGAAACGAATACATAACGAATCCGAAGCATTTACGAAACGAATTTAAAAATTCGTTTCGTTTTTAAGTTGCTCCAGAATGGTTCGTTATCGCTTCGTTATAAAAAAAATAACGAATTTTTAACGAATTACGAATTAACGAAACGAAACCGCCCAGCCCTAATGAGTATATACAGTATGTGTGTAAGTATGTGTATTATGGTATTCCCATGAATTTCATAGCGGTTTTTAAGGCAAGTATTCAAAGGTGGGTTTGTCAGTTCCTTGACCTGAAATATAGCCTACACTACCTGGTGTCTTCCATGCAAGTACTAACCAGGGTATAGAAACTACTTACTGTGCAAAATCATACAGGACTTGGTGTCTTTGGGGTATCTAGGCACCTGCAACTATACTGCTGCTGTAATTCTCAACTTTTTGGTTAAAACTGTCGAAGGAACCTCAGTAGTCACCAATTTCCAGAGCTGGTAGCATGCTCCAAGTGGGTTGGAGTAGGTTTAATTTCCATTATTTGATACTTGGAGACTGAACACTCCCAGGATAGGGGATTTCAGGTTTAAAGGGGCTTAAAATTATATCACGATTGTAATGCCCTCACCCCTCCCTTATCTGTCTCCTTTCAGAAACTAAGTCTGTTACTAATGAGTGAAGGAAAAAACCTCTGAAAAATTCAGAAAGAATGAAAATTTAATGTTTTGGGACACAATATCAATTTCAGAGTGTGTAATATACAGAAGTAACTAATTTCCTTTGTGAGTGGAGAAGAAGAAATTATTTGAGACGGTAAATATTTCACTTCCACTATGCTATTTCCTTTCAACATTGCTGATAATGGTATTTTTAAAAATAAAAACAGGATGCCATTTATTAAGAATGATTTCCTTCAGCCATAAATATTAAATAGGAGAGGAAACTGCAAAAACATATCTCAGTGAAAGCTATATGCCACTAGAACTGAAATAAATACAAAATTGCTTGCATAACGTATTGAAATTAAATTAGTCTATATCCATGAGAACATGATTAGCACTCCTGACAGACAGATGATAAACAAAGGAAGCTTGTATTTAAGACACATAAAGGGATGCAATAAAATATGCAACATTTTCTTCAATCATTATTTCTGGGATATTTTAAACTGCTGAACTTAGAATAGAGCATCTGTCAGTGTTGCTTTATCAATGCACAGCAAGACAAGTGCCTGACCTTCTAAGGTATCACAGTAGATGACAGTCAGATCTGATAAATTACAATAGTTAAACCACAATCATTTTTTTTGTTATTATCATGACATGGATTCTGTGATTGGGGAAATATGAGGTAACAAAAACAAATAAATGAATAATTAAATGGATACCCTGCTTTTCTCAAAGTCCAAACTATCAAATACAGTGAGTGGTATTTTTAAGTCCCTTTTTCATAAGTTAGTCTGCTGTCAAAACAAATAGCTCAATACTGTTTTCCCTTAGCAGGATAATATCACCTGTGAAGGAATTCCCTAGCTTAGGAGCAATCAGTAAGGTATTCCTACCTTGTGTCTCCACCACACATATCTCAGAAAAGTAGCAGGACCAAGAACAGTGTCTAATCAGAGCCAAGGAAAACTTAATACAGAGACTAGCATAGACCCAAATTACACAAGGCCTCAAAGGTTATGACCAGCACTTTGAATTGTTCCTCCAACCATTAGCCAGTGGGGAAAGAGAGTCATATGATCTCTTGCCACCAGTCAATATTCTGACTGAACCAACTTCTTGTCACGGATGTCCTCAATTTTTTTTTGCTTTTTTTTTGTTCACTGAATTGCAGAAGTCTTAATTATGTTTCAGTTCCATAATTCCTTTGGATGCTTGTTTTTGAACTGTTTAACTATAGGATTTTATCTGACAGTAGGACACTTAAACTTAGCATTCAATAATTTTTTTTCATGTCAGGAGTGACTTGAGAAACTGCAAATCGTTTCTGGTGTGAGATAATTGGCTGTCTGCAAGGACATAGCCCCGGGAATACCCAGATGGTTTGATGTTTTACCATCCTTGTGGGAGGCTTCTCTCATGTCCCCGCATGGAGAGCTATAGCTGACAGAAGGAGCTCCCCCATGCTCTCCTTGGATTTGAACCTCTGACCTGTTGGTCTTCAGTCCTGCCGGCAGAAGGGTTTAACCCATTGCGTCACTGGGGGCACCATAATAAATGAGGCTAACATAGTGAATACTAAAAACTTCGAGTGAGGATATAAATTCAGGTTACAATTGATATTCAGACAAAATATATGGTGAATTTTTGATCTACAGTCTATTTATATGTATAGTCATCATTTGGTAGTATCACTATTTAACATCATAGACAGAACTTTAATTTTAGTTGATGCCATCTCAAATACATCTGGTGAAAATACATTTAAAAATACACTTGTTCACTGGAAATTTGTCAAATGTTCAATAATGAAGGGAGGACTAAATGCCTTCCTCCCTCACACTGGATAGCAGAGTAGTGTGGAAGGAGGATACTTTGATGTTGAGGAGAGGCCATGACAGTTGTGCCGTGGTACAAAGCTCCAAGATAGGGAGATTGCTGGGTGAAGCTAAGGCTATTTAGGCCACTGTTGTCCCCACCATCTTCGACTTTTAGATTTCTTTTAGGCCACTCTCTCGCCTTAGATACAATCTAAGCATGTTGATCACTTATGATCAGGGTAGGATATTCTTCCCTTTGTTCCATGGGATTTTTACCTACCCTACACTATAGATAAGGACTTGGCTATTGACCTGGGGTGATGCCTTAATTAGGTGGTCATATGCTGAGTAGTGAAAGAGAAACTGAAGTTCTGATGAGTACTTATGGCACCCATTTGGTGAAGGAAAGGGTTCTGAAACTGTCTCTATGGGTTGTGAGGCATGGGAAAAGGAGGGTATTTGTGGGGATGGCCTCAGGAGTCCCCATTAGAGGTTATATGATCTTCAGGATGGGTAGATCTCCAGTAGTTATCCCTGGGGCTAAGGTGTTTCTCACCCAGGATGAACAGAGCAGCAGGTCCATGTAAGACCAACTGTTCTTGCTGGTCCTTCACTAGATCTTTCCCCTTTTTGTAGATCTCAAAAAAAAATCTAAGTAAGAATAAGTTTAAATAAAGCAGCTCATATTTTCACGTAATACATGTGTGTGGGCTCATCATTTCACAGGTTAGGTAGCAACACATTCATGAATCAGTTCTTAGCTGAATGCATACAGGCATGTAACAAATATGCTGTGTTCCAGGAAATGAAATGATAGCAAAAATAAATTCTTCCCAACAGATGGTCTGTGTTGTAGATCTTTTCATTCCAACACAGAGAAAGGGAAATGTGACTAAAGCCACCTGTTTCCAGTTTGTAAAATCTACTGTTCCTTGAGCACTGCTTCATTGAGTTTTTTAGCCAAAGTTATTTCCCTTAATCCTTAGTTTTTGTTGTTTCTCTGTTAGTAATACCTTGTTTCAGTTTAGTTCTGTTTCTCTTCAGTGGCCTACAAAATTGACACCTACAAAGTCTCTGCCTGCAAATACTAATCATATATGTCATCTAAACTTGCAGGATTTATTATGATTCAGAAACTCAACAACAGCTGATGTGCCTTTAAAACAGACAGAAGATACCAATTATAGACCAAAATGATGGACCTCAGCAGGTAATTTAAATGCTTCCTA